ATATATATATATATATGTATGTATGCTATTTATTATATATTGTTTATTTATTGGTTAAATGGTTAATAATTAACGCTCTTTTATCTGTTTTTTTTCTCACGCCTCTCATTAATGTTATGTGCAGGTATTGGGATCCTTATTATTACAAGAGGCGGCGGGCAAAGGCTGATGATGGAATGAACTTCATTGAATCTGTAATAATGATAAATGGTTGATTGATTTGTTGGATGCTTGAGCATTGTTTTTTTTTTTACTTTGATGCGCAACTATATACAAAAATCTTATCCTGTCTTGTAGGTTTTCTCATTTGTTTTTGGTGATGGAGATCCAAATCAAGGACTTGAGGAGGAGAGATGGAAGCTGGTATGATCTATACATGTTACAAAATTTTCACCCTATCAAAAACTTGCATAAGATTGCTTTTCTTGTATGGGAAAACTTTTTGGACTTTTTAGATCTAAATATCACTGAGAGAGATGATCTTTGTATGCAAATCCTAAGAGTAGAGAAGCTTGAGTGAGAACATGATAGAAAATACAAACCTGCTGCTTTTTTGTGTTTCAACGAAAAAAATTAAATGTTTCTTTATCTGTTTCTTTCTTGCCTGCTTATTCAAGGGAATATTCTGCTCCACATTTTTATGACTACAAGCAACGAATTCCAAATTTCCAACGAGTATGATTTTCAAGTTTATTTTTCTTTAGATGGAGATTTTTGAAGCTAGATTATTGTTTTGTTTGAATGAAATCTACTAGCAATTCTCATTCTTTGCAAAGACTTAAGGCTAGGGATGATGTAGTATCATTAAAATTTCTTACAAAATATGATTTCAGCTCTTTTTTCTTCAAGACAACATTTATTGAAGCATTTTTATTTTCGAAATGAGGTCTGTCGTTACAGAAAACAAATGCATATTCCCTCCCATGTTGTCTATTCTTTTTCTAAAGGTTCACAACTATTTTCTAATAGATCTTATAACACATGAGCCATTAATTTTTACTATGGCTAGCTGAATTCATATTTGGTTGGCTGGGACCTTCTCGTTAGTTTTCGTTGTTTTTGAGGAGGCTGATAGAGAAAGTAGAGAGAGAGACAGGACAGGAGAAACAGAAAAATCAAACAATGGAATTCTTGAAATAGAAGTAGAAAAATGGAAAGGGTTGAAAAAAAATTCAGAGGGAAAGGGCTGGGGGAGTGAGCAAGGAAGTAATAGAAAGCAAAAGAGAAACATAGATGAACTTGGAGAATGGAACAGGTAAAGGCAGGGGCGTAGCTGCAGGTTGACAGAGAATTAAAACATTTGGTGTTTAATGATGGGAGTGGCGCTTTTAGTGGAGAAAGGGATGTTAGGGAACATGAGGAGGTCTAGAAAGTGCCAAGGATGTGTTAGCGGAGAAGGGGAAGATGGGAAACATGAAGAAGTGCAGAATATGCTTAAGAATTGGGTAGAGATTTATGATATCGTAGCATATTGGAGTGGAGGTTGGTTACCTTGAAGTTGGCTACTATGTGGAGAAGGGCATTTGAGAATGTGACGAGGCAGTGTTGTTGTTGGTAGCCGTTTAGAGGGTAATGGTTTATGTAAGGAGTGTTAAATCGGGTTCACAGGTCGATTTCGACCCGAAATTGACCTAGGTTAGTTTCAACCAGAAATTGCTTGACCCGAACTCGATTAAAAATTGCTTGATCAGAACCAGACCAAAAATTGCTTGACCAGAACCTGACACGAATATACAAATTATAAATTCTAAACCTAAATCATTCCGCTGACTCGAACTTGATCGATATAACCTGTTTAACATAAGACAACGAGTATTTAGGTCAAATTGGGGTTGATTTTGTGTCAATCTTGTATCAATTTAGTGTTGGTGGGTTGATTTTCAGGTCAATTTTGGGTTGGCAGGTCAATCTAAACCTGACCTGAAAATTTAAACATGTTAGGATTCCTAACCCAAACACTGACTACAATTATTTTGGTCGACCCATAATCCAAAATTTTTTAGTCAATTTCAGTTTGAGTTAGACTCTGTTTGGTGCATTTATAGTTGTGAAACTATCATGCCCCCATACCTGTTCAACTGTAAGTTAGTTTAGTTGTTGTGTTGCAGTTGTTTCTGAGAAGCTGTAAGTTATTTGTTCAGCTGTTAAACTGTTATACTGTAGTTGTTTCTTAAAAAATGAATAAATTGCCCACATACATGTGTTTGCTGTAAGTTAGTTGTTTCATCACGATTTTAAACAGACATAGGAAAACTCTTCTTAAAATTTATAGAAAGTTGGAGGTCCAATAACTTCAGAAGTTACACATCACTCAACAATGAGTCACATACAAATTAAAATTGATAACAACAACCAATGTTATCATTATGTTACTCTCGGTGTCCAAGCGATCAAGTCTCTTGAAAAATTTTCTCTCTAAAGCTATTTTGCACACATGATCACTTTCTGAAGCGCAGTCCTCATAATCATTATCCCATCTAAAAAATTTGTGATCATTTTTTGATATTCTTCCAGGACACTTATAAAATTACTCGCACAACTAGCTTCAACGTTAATAGGAAGCATTGCAAACTGCAGTTACAGTACACTACTCTAGAAACTTCAGAGGTCCTTGAACACATATTTTCTGAGAATGCAGACTTTAATACATCTATTTGAACTTGAATCACAAAATAAACATTGGAAATCATAGTTTAATCACAAAAACATATGACCATAATATTTATTTCAGCGTAGAACATGATCATTTTTGTTAAATCTCTACCCAAACTAGTTGATCCTTGCTTTAACTTCTTCCATAATTTCTAATTTTTTTTAACTGATTGGATTTATTTTTTTAATGAAGTTCTATTATTCTACCACTTCTGTCGTGCCAACCACCCTTCTTATTAAAGAGAGTAGTTGGACAATTGCCTAATTCCACCTCTTTTAAATATGGGTCACAAAAAAATATTTTCTTATCATGTTCCCAAGTGGCACTTGCTCCGAACTAATTGACTTAAAAGAAATATCATATGAATTCAACACAGAAGGAGTTGAATGATGCTCACATACATAATAAGCAGCATTGACAAATATATCCCATAATTCATATGGATTTGCATTTCTAACACTTTACCAATTACAATTGAATGCATACCACCAATAAAAGATTGAAATGTATTCAGAAAGTGGAATTGAAATGTATTGATTTGTGTAACAACTATACAGTCATATCCAACACAAAAACGTTCAAATGGATTATGTAGTTTATTTGTGAATGAGGTGCACTGAAACTATCATGGCATTAGAAGATTTATAAATTAAACAAAACCGACAACTAAAATTGAATGAAAAACAAGGGCTTAGATTAGAAGTTACATTGGTGCCCTCACAATAAGTGGGGACGCATCTTCGATCTAGGCAAGAGACTTTCGGGTGATAAATAACGTTGTACACATGTGATGCACATATTAAGCAAATTTTAATAAACCTGCTCTCAAGAGGTAGCCAAAAGAGAAGAGCATCCTTATTTCAACTGTGTGTTCATTGCATCATAGCCTTAAAACCAAGAACATCTCTTTTTGCAGGTTGCAAGGTAATCTGTCATCTATTGCCAAATGACGATATAAACATAATAAATCCCTGGATCGGCGTGACAGAATATCTTAGGCAGCAACAATTGATCAACAACATAACAGGCCAAAAATAAGCAGTAAAAAACCAATCGTTGCACTTACGATCACGCATAATGAGAGCCTTAAATTTGCACCGGCTTTCAAAATATCCAAATAAACCCTTCATTCCACGGGCACATTTAAATAAGGAACGTTTACCTACATAACACACAATTCCTATGTAATTACACATTTATCATATAAACTTCAATTTTTAAGTGTGTCATCTCAGCTGGTCAAGAGAAGGTGCAAGTAACTAACTAGCAGCCCTAATAAATAAACAATATCAAATAATCTATAACATTAACCTCAATTCTGTTAAAGTTATAGCCCTAAAAATAAGCCCCTTCATCACAAAATAAAGTTGATTATATTGATAAAATCCAAATTGGTTTTATGTTTAAGTAAGCCCCCCATAAACTAAATAAATTAATATATAGTAATGCTCCCTTGTAAGAGAAATCACAACTAAACAACCATACTATATCATAGAAAGCAACTCCAAGAAGTTGGTAATCCCATATTCCATATTACATTTGTAATAATATAAGGATTGTGCGAGCGTGTACGTAAGTCACCCAAAGAAGCTAATGAACAAAATACTCCAATTTTCGGTGTGTACGCAACAACAATTTTAGTGGTACTGCAAATTTAATTGTGTACGCATTGGATACATAAAATATAAGATGCTACAACATATGACTTGTGAGGCATGCAAGTCAATTTTCTTTTTTTTTTTCAAACCACTACAACCATGGATAAAATACTCTCGCTTTGATTATCAAGCATTCAAACCGCTACACCTCTATTTCACTGAAATTTGCACTTGCATAAACATGCCAAATTTAAACAACGATTTCATGGAAATTTTTCAATCATAAATAACAAAACCGAGACCACCATCATCAATTCAAACTAACATAAATAACAATTGAAGGCATGCATGCTTCTCACCTGTGCACATGTGCAACACTCACAAAAATACTCCAACAGTAACTAAAACATGCACTACTCCAGAAACATCTTGCAATCCCCTATTGAACTTTCCCTTTTTTGGCCCAAAAACAAAATTTCACAAGCAACAAATAAAATAGATCTGCCAAACTTCCTCAAGCATAGAATTCATGACATTTTCCATATCAACAGAACTTCCAGATGTAAAAGAGGAACGCCAATAAAAATACAATCGAAATCGACATAACAAATCACTAATGACTACAATTGATGCGCCTTCATTCCATCGAATCACGTAGCAAATGAAAGAAGACACATAATACCATTCATGCTTGAAATACCATAGCAAAACCCTCAACAATAGATGTGAAACAAAATGAACTCATAAAGAGGAAGGAACTACTCGGAATCCAACAACTGAACTGATGAAAAGAGAGGCAAACTATCAGTCCGCTGTCAGCAATAGAAGAAAACAAAAGAAAATGGGAATAGCTCAGATGCCACCAATGGAAGAGAAGAAAGAAAGGAGAGTAAATCTGCAGCCAAGCGAATGCCCGAGGGCTTGAAGTTTACGAAAACACAATCTCAGCCTGGGGCCGCAACCCTTATTAACTGCGCGTTGTGTTAAATTGACATGATAACTGCCACATCCCGAACTGGACCAAATCTATCCAGGCTTTTTGAAAGGGGACGGTCGGCTCTTTTAAGGATTGATACCTCTTTTCAAGAGAGGGGCCCACTCTTAGTTATCCT